ATGCTGAAAGAACGATAGCACAGATGGGGAGACGAGTTCTGCCTTTGTAGCATCGAATGCTGCAGTGTGGACGGAGTCCCAGACAAACTCATTGGATGTCTTCAGGAGCGGTCGGAGAGGTGCCGCCAGCTCGGCGAGTCGTGGCGTGAAGACGCTGCACTGGTTGACCAGGCCGAGAAAGGAACGCAAGTCGGTGCGATTGCTGGGTGTGCTGAAGTTCTGAATGGCTGACGTCTTGGCGGGGTCCACAGTGTAGCCGTCAGAGGACACGGTGAAGCCACAGAATTCAACAGTGCTGGCAGCGAAGGTGAACTTCTTGGCGCTGAGAGTAATACCATGATCACGGGCTCTCTGCAAGACTGCACGGACGTGGACGAGGTGGTCATCGAAGCTTACATTGTGAACGAGACCATCGTCAACGATTTTGAAGAAGTTCTGCAAGCCATCGAATGCAGAGTCAGTCCGACGGTTGAATTCATCACCGGCCGACACCAGGCCTTGCGGGTTGCGGCAGAATCTGTATCGGCCCCATGGGGTGATGAACGTGGTTAGGGCTTTGGCGTCCTCAGTCGATGGGATTTGCCAATAGCCATGACGTGCGTCAAGGGTGGTGAAATACGTGGCAGGACCCATGGCAGAGAGACGATCTCGGGCGTTGCGCATAGGGTGGGTTGGCCGTTTGACTTGGCGGTTCAGTGTCTGCAGGTCGACAGTCAGCCGCTTCTCAGTTGAGCCCTTCTTGTCAACAATGACTATTGGGTGGCACCAATCAGACGGGTCGGACACAGTTTCAACGATGCCTTCAGATACCATGTCATCCAGCTGAGCTTTGACCTTCTCGCGGTAAGCATAGGCGATCGGGCGGGCAGTGTACACACGGTGAGGCTTGGCATCGGGTTCAAGAACGATGTCCATCGGGGCCCAGACATTGGTTTGAGAGTACTGTCGTCAAAGACGTCGGAAAACTCCTCTAGCAACTGTGATCGGATTTTCACGAGGTCTGTTGGGCTGGGCGTAAGTGGGGCGCTCACACGTGCGACTTGCTGGGGCCAGCCGGGCGGCAAGAAGTTTAGCGCTCTCATTGAGGAACGTGACAGCAGTGCGTCGTCAAGACCGTCAAAAACATGGAGCACGCTGTCATGTGATTGGTCATTGACCTGGAGAGTGACACAAATCTTGCCGACCGTAACGAGCTTGTCGCCACTCGCTGTCCGGACGTCGTCAAAGTCACTGTCGAGATTCTCAACGAATCCGCCTAGCAGGAAGAGTTGCCGGATGCCAATTGCATCGATGTCACTCCCAGTGTCCGGGATCCATTGAAGCTGCACTGGCTGTGGTTCCGTGCATAACTTTGTTGCAAGTCGAACAGTGTCGGAGCCGGACTCCTGCGCGCGCCGGACCTTCAACATGCCAATCTGAGTTTGCTTCTTACGTTTCGGGCACATTGATTGGAAATGGCCAGCAACTTTGCATCCGTTGCACAATTTCCCAATGGCTGGACATGCAGACTTGGTGTGCGCGGAACGACCACAGTTTGGACATTTAACTGGTGCTTTCGGAGCAGCAGAGGACTTAGTAAAGGAGTTAGCGGCAGACTGTCGCTTCTGCTGCTGGTACGCGGACTTCTGTGCGGCGTTGACATGCGCCGCCTGCCCAGGAATGTTGTGGGAGGTGTCAGACGCTGCTTCCTCCGCACGGCAAAGTTTGATGGCTGCATCCAGGGTCAGGTCTGGTGTGGCAAGCAACTTGTGTCGGGTTTCCTCGTTGGATATTCCGACGACAATGCGGTCACGCAGTACATCATGTGTGACTTGTTGTAGGATGGACTTGCACCCTCCGCATATTTGGCCCGAATATGTAGTGCATAGTGACAAGTCCGGAAAATCACATGCATTATACGACTCTCTCAGGGAGGTGTAAAACGCGTCAAACGGCTCAGCTCTGGACTGCTTACGATTGTAAAATGCTAGTCTATCCAACAAAGGATTACGTAAACGTCGCAAATACTTTTTGACGGCGGCGATGATAACATGAACATCGTCGTTTGCACCGATGGGGATGATGCCCTCGCGGAGAAAGCGGCGGAGGTCCTCGTCAAACGCTTGACGAAGGGCGCTCACTCTGGTGTTCAAGCCATGGGAAGCAAGTTGCTGGCACGCAGAATAGTCGTCCCAGGCTTCTTCCCATGTGGCGAAATCAGCCAAAGACGCAGTAGAAAGCAACATTGGACGATCCACAGACAGCGGCTTTGGCATTGGTGCGGATGTGGGTGTCGAGCGTGTAGACGTTGGGGCTAAACCCGTGGGCTGTTGTTGTTGCTGTTGGAGACTTTTCAAAGTGTCTTGAAACAGTTTGGACAATTGTTGTTCTCTGGCCTCGGCAGCTTGCATCTGCGCTGCGACTAACTTAGTGAGAGCAGCGACTCCAGAGAGTTCGGCTTGGCCATCGCCGTCCGACATTTCGAAACAGGTTCAACACGAACAAAATGCAAATTTGAAAATTCCGGCCTGCGCGTAACACAACGAGGTGCAAACACAGGGTATGAAAAACCGGCAGCAACAAAACAGGTAGAATATGTTCACTGCGCCATGTGATGTCTACCTTCACAGTCATGCACAAACACTCAAGGACACAGGTTGAGGTTTGGAAGAATACAATTAGATGCAAGTGTGAAGAAGACAGGTAAGAACAGACAACCAGCCTCAGGTAGTCATCGGCGGATAATGCCGGCATAATTTTGAGCATAATCACGGCTTTCTGAAAAATAGCATTGCCGAGCATTACTTAGTTGATCTTTCAGCATAACTGCTGCATAAAACCGCTAGGGCCTCAAAGGTCAAAGTTCACCGTCCAGAGTCCGTTGTTTGTTACAAAGGCAAAATAATCCTCCTATAAATAGATTACCCATATAAAAACCGCTCTGTGAGCGGTTCTGAAAAACCTCTACTGGTGCACTCGCGCCCCGTCGTAAAAGTTAGAAATTAGAACTGGCGCATTGTCCTCCCAAATGTGAACTGATCCACCTAAATCGCGATTGACTGGACCCGAACGCACCAGTAGCACGAGGTTCCTACCTGTGGATGCAGCTGGGGACGCTGGTCCATAGCCAAAGCCAAAGCGGCAAAGGTGGGCTTCGGGGTAGGTCTACGTACTGTAAGTGTTGTATGGTAACTAACGTTACTTGATCAGCGCCGACGCCGGCTGTG